GTGCTTACAATACTCTCTATACTAGCTTTAAGCTGTAAGTGTAAGCGCGTCTTTAGTAAGCTTAGAGATCTACTAGAGCCTTGCTAATGCTGTATATTACCTAAGCTACTTGCAGCACTACACTTAGTATAACAATAGAGACAGGCTAGTTTTAGTGGTAGCAATAATAATAATATAGGCTAATTAAAGCTTACTAATAAGCAGATAGACGTTTTGTACAAGCTTAGTAAGTAAGTAGGCAAAGATAATAATCTAGATACATAGGACAACAGCTAAGACTTAACACTAAAAAATATATACAACTTTTCTATTTAGGAATTAAGCACCTAAGCTACTAATTAAGCTGGCAACTTTCTACTAAGCTAATTTAATTAATCTAGCCAAACCTTATACTAAAACGCAATTAATTAAGCTAGAAACTGCCAGCTTGCTTAATTGATTGATCTTAGGTGTGTCGGATAGGAGAACTGGGCAACCCTCGACGGTTGTGTTGAGAGCATTGAGACAGCTATCACTGAGGCCTGGGTACGAAATACTCCGGAGGATGCCTTCGAATTGCTGGGCATGAGCACCAATGGAAATGACGGCCAGCAGGTGAAAAAAGTTTGTCCGGAAGACCTTCATGGTTTTGCCAAGCCTCCGAGAGCTCTGAGGGCGCTGTTGTGAATGGGGACGATCTTAGGAGAAGCACAGTAGGCCCCAGTTTGCGCAGTACCGCAAGAGATTCGCGAGTGCGAGGGCTCGTCTACACATATACTACTGCGAATACATCAAAGTCATAACCCTAAGAAACCATCTTAATCCGGCCAGTGCATCCCGGCTCGTCAGACTCGTTGATGACCTACGATGCCCCTTTTCCCTTTTCTGACAAGGATCAATGCCACGCGATATAGATACCTGGTATAGTTCAGGCGGTTCGGCCACAGCGTCATGAGCTAGCCCTACAGCTAGTGTGTATGCAAGGTACAGTGCCCTGGCATTTTGCAATTTACTGCCTCGGTAGACAAATACACGTGGGGATGCAGGGCACAGCCGATATCTCGGGCACCCATCATGCAGTGGAAATTTTCTGACCATAGATTCCGCCCGTATGATCGACAGAAAGCAATCGGAACTAAGGCAGGAGTGCATGAGGAGATTGAGATCAGCGAAATGAAAGTAGCCAAGTCTCCGGTGCAGCCAGATAGGTTGACCACATGCCTCACACCGAAGATGAGACTTTACGCTCCAGGGGCGTCCGAATGTGGTAGCGGATTAGCTCGTCGGCATGTACTTAGTTTTCTGTATATTACATTCACACTTTAAAAGTTATAGGTAGAGCCTGTATTTCTGTAATTAGTCTAGTACTAGTTTTACTTTTGTTACATAGTCTAGTTTGTTACTTTTAGTATAGATAAAAATGTTATCTAAGTATACTAGTATAAAGATGTCTAGGTACAGGTTAAGTGCAGTGTTAATTACTCTCTAGAAGGTAGCTAAGGTGTTAGTTAATCTAAAAAGCATAATAAGAAGTTTATATAAGCTACTTAAGGTTTAAAAAGCTGTTATCTATTTATATTTTTTTTTATCTTTATTTTATTAAACCTGTGTTGTATGTTAAACTTAGTGTAGTGTATAGTTTCTTTTAACTAATTTATAATATCCTATATAATTAGAAGTAGGAACTAGTTTCTTATAGTGTTTTTATTAAAAGTTTAGTAGTTTTAACAGACTTTAATTTTTTCTCTTTTTTTTTATAAATACTACTACGAATGCTATTAGGCTGTTGCTTTTCTAAATATAGCCTCTTACTAGCATCTTGTCTACGTAATCTTATAAGGCTTTCTTTTAAATCTTTATAAAAGATCTTAGTTTATAGGTCTTTAGCTGTAGGTTTAGTTTTAGATTTATAGTATAGTTCTATAGCTAGTGTAGCAGGAGTTTTCCTAGGTCTTTAGAAGTTTTAAACATATCCTAATAGTTGCTGTATTTCTTAGAAATTGCATGT